GGAAAGGTAATAAGGGAGAGGAAAAAAATATGAGAAACTGAAAAAATGGAAATAAAGTGTTTGTAAATGGGGAGGGGAGGAGGGGGTGAAGGGAGGGCAGGGACAAGGGGAAAAAATGAGAATCAAGACCTATTATGTAAAGGTACAGAATCCCATTGATGAATGTAATTGTATTGTATACCTAGACTGTACCAATAAACTCAATAAAAAGAAAAAAAAATTGATGAATATTATCTTTCTTTGGGAGGTGTTCAACTGGAAGCACAGCCATAAAATGAATGACAAAATTTCAGAAAAGGCAATTAATAAGGCTGCTTGTAGGAGAAGCTAAAATAGGAGAGTTCATTATGTTAGATGAAAGAAAATGGTTAGTTTTTATGGCATCTAGAAGCAGAATAATAATGTAACAGGGATTTAGCTCAGTGGCACCGTGCCTGCCTTGCAAACACAAGGTCCTGAGTTTGATCCCTGGTACCAGGAAAAGCAAAACAATCAGATGCAGAGAATAGTTGAGTCTCTAATATGGTGGCACATACAATTGGAATCATTGGGTGCTACCTACCAAGGTATGAAAACTGTTGGACATGATGAAGGAACTTCCATAATCCATACCCAACCTTGAGGCCTGGTAGTTTAAATATGTCTCCATACTTACATTAAGACTTGAAGTACCCACACACTGCTGCATGGCAATGAATTGCATCAGTGTTTTAAAAATAAATACTGATTTATGCCAAGCAAGGTGATGCATGCCTGTAATCTCAGCAGTTGGGAGGCTGAGGCAGGAAGATTACCATGAGTCAAAGGCCAACCTAATTTACAAATTGAGTTCCAGGCCAACCTAAACTTCATAGTGAGATGCTCTCTAGCAAAAAACAAAAAACAAAAAACAAAAACACCACATAACAAAAAAACAAAAAATACTGATTTAAATAGGTAAAATATATTCACAAATGTTTTGTAATAAACAATAAAATGATACTACAATCAGAAATCAAATTTTAAAATGGGAATGGTAGTACATGCTTATAATCTCAGAACTGGGGAAGCTAAGGCAGGAGTACTGCAAGTTTTTGGCCATTTTGGGCTACATAGTGAGTTTGAAGTCAGGCCAAACTACATAGCAAGACCTTGTTTCTAAATAAATAAATAAATAAATAAATAAATAAATAAATAAATAAATAAATAAATGGGTTAGGGATTTAGCTCAGTGGTGCCATGGCTGCCTTGTAAGCACAAGGTCCTGAGTTGGATACTTGGTACAAAAAAAAAATTAAGTTTTAAGAAAAATAAACAAGAAAATATCTGATTCTGGCCTTTACTATGAAAGCCTAAAAAAAAAAAAAAAAAAAAAAAAAAAAAAACCAGTAAAAGACAGAGAATACAAGTAGAGACAAATAAGTTGGAAAATGTTGATATAAACAGACTTCACTCAGGTTAGGGAAAAAAAGAGGGGCCAGAACTTAGGATATGGACCTGGGGACCTAAATCATATTTTCATGCAGTATTACTGGCAAGGGAGCAAAATCAATCTCAAGGCCTGAGTGTATCCCTCAGTGGTGGAGTGGTTGCTTAGCATGT